CAATAGTAATGAGACAGTGACGAACCACCTGAAGATCTCCACGTTCAGTAGGAAATGCTTTCTCATTTTATGTATTTATTTAATTGAGTTAAACGAAAATTCATCAATTTTCACATTTTGAATAATTCACTAGTTTCTTCAAATATTTTCGAAATTCATGTATCATTTTCAATTTTAGATGATTCAGTTGAAAATATTGTTTCTGAACTTGTTTTGCTTTCATATATCTATTTAATAAATGAAAGTCGTGTCCATTTTGTACTGTAAACAGATTTTTCTTCCAGAGTTGAATTTAATACTACAGACTTGAATTTGAACATTTGTCATATTTTTGTCATGGTTATTTTATGAATTTAAAATGTTGAAGACACTTTTCTCAATAATTTGAATTATTTTGTACGTGTCATACTCCTGTTCAGGTAAAAAGCTTTACCCATATTAGTTTTTAAATTTGTTGTAATTGCAACCAATCATACTATTGAATCAAAAAGTAAGTTCATTTGCATCATAAACTTCACAAATCACCATCCAGCAATGAATATGAATCTTTCTACCGAAAAAAAAAGATAATTTTAATCAAGGCATATTTTTGCATTAACAAAACAGGGTCAAAGTTCAATAATTGAATTGTTCATGATATGTGGTATCTCAGAGCTTCAATCAGTCACAGTAACCACAAGAGTTCGTAGTCAAGCGTCAGTTTCAAAATTCAGATGCTAATGAAGTAACTACAAACTCAAATATTGGAGTGGTGGCAAAGTACTGCTTGAATAATGTACAGAGTGTGCCAAATCGGACAATTTGAGAGGGAAACTCCAAACTAAATAGATGAAAACTGATGGCTGTGTCTGGTGGTCAAATTTCATGAAAAATTTGGTGGTGAAAACCACATATCGATATCTATCAATTTTTTGAAAATGTGCATTTTCGAAGAGTTGCTATAACTCTTTTCTTGTCAGAAGCGTTTCATTTCTATGGAAAAATTTCGAAAATATTTCTTTTCAAATGATATATCAATGGTTATTGATACAGGGTGTTCCTTAAACACATGCTAATATTTAAGGAGGTAATTCTTAGACCCATTTTGAGAAAAAAACTTTCTATGGACGTATGTCCTAAACGCCTTAACTTTTGAGATACAGGGTGGCAAAGTTTTCAAAAATAATCAGTTTTTTAATAATAACTGAGATAATTTTGTAGACATCTTTGGCATATTTGGTACATATGTTCCATGCCTCAAGGCG